GGAAACCGCGAGCGACCAGAAAGCAACCCCCGAAGCGAATCTGTCTGCTCCTTTTTTTCTCTCTTTTTTTTTTTTTTTCAAAGCGTTTGAGTGATTCCTCGATAAGTGACCTCGCCGTATTACCTAGATTACCATCGACGTCGAACCACCCCCGCAACCGAGCATCCGTATCTCGAACGGTCAGAGAGTCGGTCAATATATTCGCGGTATGGGGGTTCGGGACGGGTTCGAGGGGTGGCTCGCAAGGGGTTGCACGATGTACAGGAGGATCGCGGAGAAACGAGAGGGTGAACAGGAAGCGGCGTAGGAGGCGAACGAGGAAGAGGAACAGCGAGGAGAGCGAAAGAGAGGGTTTGTACGATCGAGGGGGAGTGGCGCAAACATTTGCCTGCCGCCCGGTAAATTAAAAGCACACAGAGAGGAGAGAATAGAAACGGGAGTAGAGTGAGTAAGTGAATGAACGAACGAGGGATGGGATCGTAGGTGGCCATCGTTTTCTCCTCCTCGCTCCTCTCCTCTCTTCCTCCTCGTCGTCCTCTTTCACCATCGTGCACACCGCCAACCCTCTCCTGGGCTGGCTCGCGTCACTTTCCAGCACCGGATCTACGATCGCTTTGCCCGACACTCTTGTGTACCTACGTCCGCAACAAACTCTAAATTCGATGGAAAAATTGTTCGATTAAGCGTCGGTTTGGTCACGTGGCGACAACGACGTGTTCTTATCATTCCTGCTCACGGTAATCAATGAACCTCGGGGAACACACTTGGGTGCATTTATAAATAACAGTTTTAATTATCTTAGCATCCATCAGCTGCTTATACAAATAAATAAATAACGATGACATTGGAAAAATAATTTTGAGAACAACGAGGTGAACTTAGAAATTGATTTTTAAATATGTAAAATTCGCAAACTCCTCCTACCAAGTTTACAATCTTAATTAAAATTTTTACTTCTAACGTGAAACGCGAGCCAAAGTTTTCGAAGGAAGTTTTTAAGTAATCAATCAGTCCTCGCAGTGCGAATCTTTTTCTTCGTTACCCCCTTTTTTTTCGAAAGTGTTAATGGATTCGAAACGGGTGGCTTAGCGAGAAAATCAAGTTCTCAATTCTTATCGCGTGTCATTACCTCCCTCGTTCCACTTTGTCTCTCAATCGGCCCCTTTTATGATTCGTTTGGCTCCCTTCGCGACGTCCCACCCTCCCGTCACCCACGGCTACCATCTCTTTCGCTCTCGTCCGGCCATCAAACGTTCGCTTGGATATGCATGTCGTTTGCGGCGAAGGGATGGAACGAGACGGTAGCGCGAGCCTCTCTCTGTTGACAGGTAAATATTTGTCGCGGCATACACCACCACCGTCAACCACCGTCGACCACCGTCAACCACCACCATCCACCGTCTCCGCGTTCTCCAACACCGAGAGCACCGTGTGCCTACCCCATTTTCGGCCTCTTTTCCTTTTTCCTCGTTTTCGCACCCCCTTCGTCAAAGACGCGCTCGAACCGTCCACGCGTCTGCTGACGATGGGAACCCGTGACTCTATGGGGTTTCGTTAAGAAAATCGCGATTCGGGATGAAGAATAATCGGACGTGAAAAATAACAAAATTGAAACTAGGAATATAAAGTAGAACGAACAAGGTTGTTCGATGTTTAAGCGACGTCGAATGGTCTGTCAACAGAAGAGCCACACGGTGGTTGGTTGTTTCGTATTCCAGGAAGCAATAGTTTAAGGAAAATATTTGTCAACAGTTCGTTGATTGTTAGGGCAAACATTAAATATTCGATGGTGTTTATGATTGGCCAAGTATAGTTCAGAGTTTCAAGTTGAAGATACCTTTCACCACTGTTAGCAACATGTTAAATGACTCGTTTGTATGCTAATAGTCGACACACAGAGGTTGCCCCATTTTTCTTCTCTCTTTCCTAAAGTTAAACAGGCGAGATTGCCTTGGGAACTATTGTGCTTCTTAGTTCTGAAGAATTTTTTGAACTTCTGACGATGGAGAAGGATTCGTTGGTTTTAGATAAATCTAATCTTTGGAGGATCATTGATCTACGATAGAAATGATCCTTAGAGGTTTTTTGAACCCTTGATAGGTTCTATCGTGAAATCCTTGAAAAATTCTTAAACTCAGATAACTGTAATCTTCAGAGGATTATTAGATCTTAGATAGATGGTATATTCAATGTATATAATCAGAATAATCTAAGATAGGAAGAATTTCTATTGTAAAAATTATTCCATACGTCGTGTATGTAAATTTGAAGACAAGTATCGCCCCTGTGTAGGCATAGAACGAAGGTGGAAATAAAAGGTCGACGAGTTAATTAAGAAGGACATCGGTTTGTCCCGCAAAGATCGGTCAACAGCCATCATACTTGGAGCAATGGGCTCGAACAAGCAGCAGTTCGGTTCCGAAGCGGATAAAAAGGAATCAGAGCGAGTGAAACGGAACGCAATCGAGTCTTTGTTGTGCTTTTACCTGGAAGCCGACTGACTAGGCCCGCCACTGTCTGGCCGTGTTTGTCCCGCGCAAACTTTGTTTTTACAAATAGAACCACATGTTCCTACGTTCACCCTCTAACCAGCTACCCATTCTCTGTTCACCCTCCTACATACGTACACACCTTTTTCTCCTATGTCTGTCTTTCTCTCTTCATCGATCTATCTCACTCTCTTTGTTCATCTTCGCGCCTTCTCTGTTACTTCTACTTCCTAGACCCACAGCCCTGCGCACACACGCGACAGGTGGTAAAGTATAACAAAAAGGCGAGTTCATTGAAACGGTTTGCGTTGGATTCGCTTTGCACCTCGGAATTTCTTTGGGAAAGGCACGCGAGTCACCGAACGACCGTCAAATATTAGCCCGCGATCTGACTTTTGTCACATTCCTGGATATCTGCTCGTTGATAAAGGGAGACCGAATGTGTACCATTCCTCTTCTTTTTTTTTTTTACCACCATCTCGCGTTTTATTGTCGATCCGATGGTGATTTAGATAATTTAAACGGTTTGATGATTCTCTTTGTCTTTGGAAAATAGGAAGAATGCTGTAAATCTATCGGGGTGGTTTTCTGATACTTTGGATATTTTTTGAATCGTTGGTTAATTAACACGATCGAGGGTTAAGATAAAAATCTTTGAAAATTTCTATATCTTTCACTTAGAAGAAAAAGTAATTACGATTTGTATGAAAGATACTTTGAATTCCGGCAATATTGAAACTAGAATTGATTCGTAAATCTCTGGCGAAAGGGGGTTGTTAAGCACTCGAAGTCTTTTGTATATTTGATTTAAGACTTCTTGGTTACAGTTTCTGTTATTTCTAGAATATTGGTTGTTTCAGCTTGCTCTCTATTACTGTAAGAATTATCAACGTTCCTGCTAATATTATCACAGTCAACAAGATTCAAACAAGAGACACGTGTTCTTAACTGTTAGCTCTATTGGAACTTGTACCCTCGACTGAAGTGAATTTATTTGGTCAATAAAATAACTGAAACCACACTCGGAAACAAAACAACAAATTTTTTTACATTTCAAATAAACTGTTATTATACTCTCATTCAAGAGTCGAGTTTACCTTTCGTCCAAGTAAAGTATACGATAATCGTAAAAATTCTTTCACAATTTTTTGACACGTTTCACCGAAATAGAAGTAGAAATAAGAGGAAACGAAATTTTTGCCGTCGGTGAAATCTCGAAAGGTGAAGGATTAAATTGTTCAAGTATGCGTACGATCGCGCGAGGATTGGCTAGGAGGATGTTAATTAATATTTATGAGCAACGTACGCGCATTTTCTGCGTACAACTTGTTCAATGAGTGCCAATTGTCAGCGGCGTTCACTTAAATTGCTCATCGAATATTCATGCGAAACCGGCACCGGGAATGCAGTTTCTGACCGATACCTAAATACGAACGATGAACGCGAAGGAATATTGAAATCGACGAATTAACATCCATCTATTAATGCCTTTCAATTACGAAGTTGTTCGCTTAGAAAAAAAGAAAAATACTTTTAATCCTGCAACGTGTTTGCTCTTCGAATATTATATTCTAATCGTTGCTGTTCGAAACAAATTTTCAAATCAATTCAACCGTTAGGTGGTCAACGCGATTCCAAGAACGACAACTTCTTTCTTTTTCTCTTTGACCCATTCGAGACAGAAGGGGGATTGTGAATTTGGACGGGCCAAGAGAGTACCACGTGGAGAAAAGGTAGAGGATGTATACTAATTGAAGGGCCGGTTAGAAGCAAGACAGTAGCGAGTCTCCTGATTAACACCTTCTTCGGACCACACACAGGCGAAGTTTGAAGAATTTCCAGTCCTATTTTTATTTATGAACAGAAGCGAATCCCGTATGCACGCGTGTAATAATCACACCGTGCCTTTCTCAACGGGATCATTGTTCTTTATTATTCTTAACGTCGAGGGAAATCTAACTGGGCGCCATGAATGAAAATATTGATAGAAATAATTCTTTTCAAAATAAACGCGAGAGGTCAGTAACGGAATGATTGATATTCTCGAATTTTTCATAAAACAGAAAGCTGTGATTGAATCTCGTTTGAAATTAGTACAGCTTGCTGCAATATTTTCACTTGGACAAATATTAGATCTTAGGGGAGAACGTTTGAGTAGGTAATCCCTTAAGTAGATTTAGAAAGAACAGTGTTAGACACTGAATTACTAATTTACATAAGCGTTATTAAAATAAAACAATTAAAATAAATGAATATTATGAATTATAAATAATATTTATAAGCGATAAGCAAGAATTCCTGCTTAGAAATGATTTTGTATGGGAAAGAGTCAAAATGTGTACTGACAGGGGGTAAGATAGGTAAAAGTGTAGAAAACGACTCGCGAAAACATCAACAGCAAAAAAAAAGATAGAAGAGAAAAAAAAGCGACTACTTTCGGAAGTTCATGAAAGTTCGTTTACACAACTCTTTCCCGTACTGTGATGCATTATGCTCTCGAGACGGACTGACCTGAAATCTTCGGCCTCTGCTGCTCTTCACGAAGGAACAGCATCACGACTCGTCATTCCGGTGAGCTTTCTACGGATTTGTCTGCTATACTATGTGTCCCGGAAGTACAGGATAAACCCTGAAACAAATTATACAATTTTCAAAAAATATTTCTTATTCAACCGTTTATATTACAAAATTTTCAAGCAATTTACTTTAATACTCGAAGAAAAAATTTCTTGAAAACAAAGAATGTTTCCAAAATAATATAACAAAGGCATTTGGAGTAAAAAAAAATAAAGTTGTATTATATTATTCAAATAATCAATGTCTTCTGGAAATTAAAGGCTTGAAAGGTCCTATTTTAAATCATCCAAAATTACACGACCCACCCTATACATGAATTTTCTTGGTTTCTTTTTCAAACTGATTAGTAGAAACTACGCGTGTACGAGCGATAGAAAAAGTTGCCTCCTTTCTACCTGGTGTCATATTCAACCCGGTATGCTGTCCGAGCGACCGCTTCGCCCGATGGAGTACTTGGTCCGCGCGCGACTCCTAAGGGTACTCGAGGCCGCGTCGAGAGAAAGACCTCTCTACATGGGTGGTCCATTCTCCTTACGCATGCATTATATAAGTTCAGTAAAGTTCACGCTAAAGGATACACGAGACCGATGGTGTCCAGCAGCAGCGAGGAATCCGATAATTATATCCTAAACCGTTCTCTCACGCACTCCTCGCGACTGCACCCACCCTTCAACAGGGACACTTGGGTGCCACTTCAGATTGATTTCCACGAGATTAAAAAAATGGAATTGGAATACTTAAGAAATTGTATGTTGGAAATAAATTGATATCTTTCTATGTAGCATAAGTCAGAGTTTTCTGTTACTTATGACAAAAGGAAATGGTGATACGATATTCCATTAATAACTAACAATGTATACTGAAGAAAACGATATCAGCAGCAACCTGACGCGATTCAAATTCCGAACGCGCAAATAGTCGTAAGGGATGTAAGGAATCTGTTTGAGGGGCAGCGGAAAGGCAACGAGGACGATTCATCATCGCGTGGTGTCCTAAGCGGCTCGTGAACCCACGATATAACCTACGAGATGTAGAACACCAAGGCAGAGAAACGTGGCCTGTATTCTGTAGATAAGAACGGACCCTATATCCCCTGGAACCTTGCTACCAGTCCTTCCCTACGATCAGACTACTTCCGGTCCCAATTACGTTCCAGATGCTTGCGTGGTCACGTGAGGATTACCCATTCCTCCTCAACTGACAGTCTCCAGAAAAGATGGAGTACACATAAATGGGGTATCGTGGAGAGATCTTGAACTAATTTTTAATGGAACATCTTATGGGAAAGATGTATAACCTTATCAGAGACAAGTCGGTGAATTTTGGATGAAATATTCTTTTTTTCATTATTGTACTAAAATTAACCGAAGACGTGTAATAAAATATATCAGATTTCAGTTTTAATAAAATCTTTTGTTCCTTTAAGCCTCTGTATAGCCCAGTGGTTCCCAAACCATGCGCCACGAAATAATTAAAATTATATCAAAAATGAGTAAAATATGAAATACTATTCTAAATATAAATCATTAAAATAAAAACAATATATGCATATGTATAATAGGTACGCAGAAATTTCTTCATTTGTTGTAAAGTGCGCCCCGAGTAAAAAAGGTTTGAGAACCACTGATATAGTCTTATTGAATATTCTAAATTGTTAGGCAAGTATAATTTATGAATAATATTTTGACTGTATTTCTTAAAATTACATTGTATTTGTTCATTCGAAACATTATCTCTTATATAAATAACGGTAAAAGTACGAATGTTAGAATTCGTTTTCCAAATGTACGCCATATGTACTTGGTATGCTGTCTAGCGGAACAAAATGGCAGCTATACTCTACAAGACTTGCTGCCGGTAATACTCTTGAGAGTATAAATCAATTTTCTGTATATCAGTTACAACACAATTAGTAATTCTATTGTTCCTCTTTGATTAGAAGCCACACACAAAGTACATAAGACAGAAACATCATATTTCTTGTGAAATTCGTATACGTACAAATGACGCGTGTACGGTGCGAGCGGGGAACCAAAATTGAATCGCATTTAAACAGTACATTTAAGAAGGAAATCATGCATAACAGTAAAAATAATGTAAAGCATGCATATAATAATAGGTGACTCACATTTTTGGATATTGTCTGCACGATTTTCAGTTGATTTCTTCTCATTTTGCAGGAGCAACTTACACTTTGCACTACTCACTAAACGAACATTCGTACCCGAAGGAATCGGATTCGATATATCGCAAGCAAGTATCGCAGCAAAATGCGATTGTACTACGTCATACTAAGCGTCCACTGTGAAGTTTGGTAAAGATATTTTAAAACACCGGAAAATAGTATAGAATGTCATTAGCATCAAAAGTTACATTCGCGTTATGTTGTGCAACATCAATTGGTATAGCAGGTTATGTGCATTATAAACAGGAATATGATAGGTAATTTAAAATGTATATACCTGATTGGAAATTAGGTTATGTCCGAGTAACGAGTTTCAAGCATGCTATCGTGTAACATGGATTAAACGTGTTGAACGTATAAGACGCATATCAAAATATTTCAGAATTCAAACAGAATTACTTAAACGAATCAGTTATATTATTTAATACAAAACAAAGCCGAATCTTTTTAACAATAAATTTTTCAAATCGTTTGAAATTTAAAAGCTTCGCGTTATTTAAAAATCCGCGTTACATTCCAATCTGTTTCGCGGGACATTGTTCTTGAAGAATTTTGAACATTTTCATAATTATTGCAGAAAACAGCTTCATTTAGGTGTTGAACGTGATATTGAACGACAAGAACGTCGAAAAGTACAAAATTTGTATATGCTTGAACAGCAGAGACATTTAACTAAACAATTACGACAAGTTCAAGAGCGGGAACAACTTCAAACTTCGTAAGCTGTAAGGATAATATTACAAAGTTCTAACGTGTTTTGTTTATATTTTATTGAGTCATTTTTATTATTGCTATTTAATTTTCTTATTTCTTGTTCATTATAAATTTTTTTCCTAAACTTCGATTTAAGGTTAGAAAGTATCCTATCCAATGAACGTAATGACTACTGAAGAACCAGTAGACCAACCAGGTAAATATATAATTCGTTTTAATTAAAATAATATTAAATCTTTGTTGCTTTACATTTCCTGTTTATAGACTTAATTTGTGTGGAAGAAAGTTTAATGAGTTTAGAAAAATTAGATAGAGCATCACCGGATTTATGGCCTGAACAAAGTAAGTGCATGCTGCATAATTTTTTATTTTGGTTCTACTAAAAGTAATAATATATGATATATGTTATTGAAGTTCCAGGTGTAAATGAGTTTGTTGCTCAACATTCGCCACAAACTGAGCCATCATCCTGGGCTTCCGGTCTCACACCAGATGATATAAACCAGTTGCATCGTAAGTTTCTATTTGCGAATATATTTTATAAAACGATATTTTCTGTTGTGTTTGAAATAAAATGACTTTATTACAGAATTAGGAAACTTATCAATGAATGGTTTAATATCTGAAGTAAAAAAATTACACGACATGGCCTATCAATTAGGATTGGAAGAAGCAAAAGAGATGACACGTGGGAAGTACTTAAATATTTTCAAGCATAAACAATAAAACTTCGTAATTAAAAAATTGTACATAGAAGTTGATATTACAGTTGCAATTGGATGTAAAATAAATTACTTAATTGTATGTACAGGGTGTTCGTTTATGGGTGAACAACCTTCGAGAACCGAGCTCGACCGTGGTCGCGAGCAAACTATTTGGCTACCACCCCGTCAAAGATTGTCCTCCTCATCACAACACCCTGTATATAATTATTCTTGTTTTGTAAAAATGTAATGTTTACTGTAAATTGTGTGAACGTTTAAACAATATAGTAAAATTTACCTAGAAATTCCTCTTAACTAATAATTAACTATCATAGACAACACAGATGTCGGTTCTCATTAGATTTGATAGCAACCTCAACGATATCACTGCCCCTTACAAAATCCACTGCTACAATATTGGCACTGTACTGCCAAATGGTACTGTACCAATTCGTAACATTCAAATTAACCTTGTACGCCATATCGCGAAGGCTACCGAATGGATTAAACAGAATAGCGTTGATATTTGCCGTCAACTCTGCCATCGCTGACCTTGGTCTCAGTTTATTCGCTCTACGAAAACCAAAACATTGCTCCTTTTAATCATATATTCCTAACAGTATATCAATACAAACTTTCCCTGAAAATTACCTGTTGCTTTCAATTGTATTTAAATATTTATACAAATCCTCGACGGTCCTGACATTACCCCATTGATGTATCACACAAGGCCACACAGTACCATGATCGTGGATCATCCACGAGTTTTCATAACCGATTATCAATCTCCTTCCTGTGGACCAGATGTCGTTCAAGCTGGTACTCCATCCCTGGTCATGATTCAGGTAATAATCCCGAAATTGATTTTCCAAATACGACACCAGTTCACTATGTTCCCATATATTATCGAATCCTATCAGCCATAAGATTCGGTGAAAATAAGAGATCATAGTACATATGTACAAAAGAATAAATTACCAATAGGAAATTCATGAATGTCGAATATCACAATTTCTTCGGTGTTGTCGAGAAACGTTTTAACTTGGTCAATCACAGTCTTTAAAGGAACTGAACGATAGAATGGTCCATGGTTAGTCCACCAAATTTCGTCTGTATGTGGATAACGTCCTATTCTGATGTCGAGGTATCGTACACCGTGTATCAGTTGACCAAGGACATCTGTATCCTAAGAATTTGTTAATTCTTAAGACGAATAAATATTCTTAGTTATAGTTATCAATACGTATACCTGTGTTATGGCAAAATTCGAAATTATATTCATTCTCTTCGCTTCTTCATCGTAGGACGCGGAATCGTGGGTACCCGGAAGGAATACTTGGCTCATTGTTAAATTACCCAGCATATGCTTTCTGTCTTTCATCCAGGTCGGCTGTGTTTTCAAACAGTTTTTCATTTTAATACCTTTCTCAGTTAACCACGTCACCTCGTATTCTGTAGACGACATGTTTACTATTGTACTTATGAAGCATTCGAAACAAGGTTAAACGTTCGGTGGCTACCTACTTAGACATTCCTGTACGAAAGACAGGTTCGAGCTAGGTATATATTCTGCGTATATTCCAGTCCTTTGGCGTCCATTCGGACTTTCTGGAATTACTTGGTAAACTACAATCGAAGAGCCGAGGGGATGTACCTCGTAAAGCGAAATTTTATCGCCAGGTTGGATGTTTAGGTTGTTCCAATAAATCTCAATCTCGCGGGTTTTTGATTGCGAGATTAGTGGCGAAAGAAGTATACCGATACGGGATTGCCCTAAATTCCAATATCGTGTCAAGGAAAAATAACAAGAATCTTCTCTTTAAAAGGGGCTAAACTTACAGTTCTCAGGAGATGAGTTGCGAATATCAGAAGTTAAAATCCCGCTAATTATCGCTATCAAAAGAAGCAATAATACATATACTGTACATCGAATCATCTTTTTTTTATTTCAATTATACGTCCTTTATTTTATCTGAAATAATAATTGAAAACGAATATATACAAACACTTGAGAAGGTATAACAATAATTAATGTTTTGTTTCGCGTGGTACATACCTGTTTGAATTTAATTAATCTTCTCGTTAAATAATAATTAGTAATCGTACCTTATAAAAAGGATTGTCTGTTATCTTACAATGAATGTATTGAACAATCGTACGCATAAAATGTCATTAGAAATGACAAAAAGCGAATGGTGAATGGTCGTACTAATAATCTTTCTCTTATTACAGGAACAATTTGACCCGTAATTCTTAAGTAATTAAACTTCAGATTAACTGTTTTCGCATTAATCACACTCGGAACAAGCAATAACGAGAGAACAAGATGAAAAAGAGGAAAAAAGAGAAAAGAAGATAAACAGAAACGCGTGGTGGAACAATTTGACCCTACTACACGATGCAAGACGTCGTTATAAAACATGATTTCGCAACGAGTCCTTCATTATTGTGCAACGAAAGCATTAATTATTTGCTGATAGACTCAACGTTCTTCCAATATTTCAATGATTCATGACAAAATCATGCTCGAATTAACAGCTATTGATCCGCAAATTCAAATTAGTATTCACTTGTGGTAGATGAAAATTGATATCACGTTTAAAACGATAAGCAATGCTTATTTCATGATTCGTGTGAAATCACGTAATTACGTTATTTTCAAAATAAAATAATCTCTTACTTGATGAATGGAACACCAGAAAAGAAGAAATATGACTAAAATGCCATTGCTGTTTAGCAGCGTTGCGTAATTGTTTAAAAACGTTATAATCTTGACTTCTATAGTAGTATTTCCCTCGTGTCGTGTTCTATCTGGTATTTACGTCAGAGTTAATTACAAACGAAATGGCCTCCTGTACACGACACAATGTTAAGACATTATTTAAAATTCATGTTGGAACGCCTTTTATTTTAAACGCCACGGTAGATAATTGTTTTTAGAAATATTATACACCGTACCATGTTCCAATTAAAGCATTTACAGTGATAAAAATATTTGCTGCTAATTCACTTGTTTTTAAGGACTTTATTTATTTACACGTTAAATTATCATAAATTATCGCTATTTTACAAATAAAGTGTTTCTTCGATTACATAACATTCGTATTTCAATTTCATGTTTCTATATCAAAATACTTTAAGTACATAATTTGTACACAAGAAATTAAAAAAATCATATTATTGCAAGTTTATTAATTTATAAAGCTGAAAGCATTATATAAATTTCATTCTCTAAAACGTTTTAAAAACAGTACAGTCAGCGTCATCTAACAGTAGAGGTATAAGTGAATTATCTGAATTCAAATTTTCCCGCGTTCAGCAGCGCCCCTCAATATAGTAGGACGCTATCTCGTAGACAGACGGTACACACAACGGAAGTCAATAATATTTATTACATTTCTTATGTTATTTCGTAATATTTAACTTTATAAATTACGAAAATAATTTTATAATATAAAATCAAATTTTAAAGTGAATATATTTGAAATATTTGAAGGTGTGCAGTACGGGATTGATTTCACCGGTAGCGAGTCAAAGCGGTCACAGACTTCCGCCATTACACGACGCGTTCGGTCGCTCCTTTATCAGCTCCCGTAAATTATTTGAATTTGTGTAAAATATTTGGATTTTCTTGTAAATTTCATTCACATTTTGTTTATTAGAGTATTAGACATCGCGTGTGAGTGTTTTTTGGCATCGACATTAATAATAAATCGGTATTTTGTGATTTTGTGATTTCGTGCTTCGAACGTGACAAAGGAAAGATCAACGCCGTGCAGATACTGAAGGTAAGGAACATGATAAATACTTTTCTTGTGTTTCTAAACTATTCATGAATACAAAAATGGATTATATTTCTGTGATTCAGGTTCAAGATCAACACGTCTGTCAAGACTTTCTATTCTACGTACGTAGCATTCGTTCGCAACGACAACAGACGCCTTGCATGCTAGAAGTCAGCAAATGGTGAGTGAGATTTTTCGAAATTATTAATATAAAAACGATTGCAAAGTATATAAACAATATCACGAGGTGTATACAGCACCGTGATTTACATAATAATGAATATCTAGTGAAAATTAATCGAGTAAAATCCATCAAAGCTTTGCATACGTTTTAGTAGTAGATTTTAGTAGGTGCTCATTTTATCATGGGCGGGAAATTTGAAATACACCTATTCACATAGATGCTTACATTCTTACTTTTTTATTGCGTTCAATACTTAATATATAACAGATTTAAATAATACAATTGGAACCTTTAGAACGATTAAACATTTTATTATTATTACAACAATAATTATTACTAAATAAATAAATATTAGTTCAAATATTATAAAAGTATTAATTTTTGAAATGGAGTCATTCTTCTAACAATGGTAACAGGAAATAGGGACTTATAAGGGTATAAAATAATTAATTTTAAGAATTTTTACTCATCCTCCTTTATTACAAAACTGAGAAAAAAGAAAACTTTGCGAGAGTAACAAACTTTTGGCTTATGTGACTAGTTATAATACTCAGCGGCAATACTAAAATTAGTGCAATGTAAGTATGTACATTTGTGTGATTAGGTGTGACGTGTATCGTGAACGCCGTGAAATACAAAATCGAAGAAGTTGAGTTTCGAACGTAAAACAAACAGATACAAAAATATACATTTTTTTTCTCGTACCTATTCTCATGGAAAACTGAAAATTTCATCGTTTGACGAAATATTACACTCGATTTCTTCTTTCAAACAAGATTCTATATAAACAATATTTCGTTCGATTTGGCATTCAAACAACTTTTTCACAACAAAGAAAGGAAACCATTTAGATTTAAAAAAAATTGCATTGTTAATTAAAAAATTCGTACAACACTAACTTTTACGGTACATTTTACGGTAAATTAAAGTATATTGAAAAATTGTTCGAAAAACATCTTCGATATTTCCGGCCTTCTTTCACGAACAGAGAAATTCTTACAGACGCTAAAAATCGTATCTTATCAGAATGTAAAAATGTATTTTTCCATTTTTTATCGTTGAACGACGACGATCTTCCTTATTCCTTATTCACCGAAAAAAGTACTCGCGCTTATTTTTTTCAACTACACACAATCAGATACATCAATCACGCTCTTTCATACATTCGTAACTTTCTCTTAGGAGGGTAAACGACATAACTTATTAACTTATACGGGTTACAGAGATGCAGTCGTTTTACTCAATCCGTTTTACGTTGCTCGCCCTTTCACATTATTATTATTATTTTTTTTATTTTAACCCTTTGGGAACTAAGCTTAGCATGTGTATTTTTTATTAAATATTTCTCTTCGAAGCATACATCTTAAATTTATAATTTTTATTTATACGAATTTTTTTGAACGTATATGTGGGTTTATCATCCTCAAAGGGTTATTAACGCGCAAGTAATACAATTTCGCAGATCCATTATCGAGACTGGCTATTAAAATTTGATTATCGAAAATTTTTAACAGAGATACACGAATGATACAATTTCACCATTTCGGAATGTGATTATCCTCCTTCATCCCTTCTAGTTTATAGAGTAATATAAGGGTGTATTCGCAGTATAGAGTATAATATCTAGGGCTAGTTTGCAACGAACAACGGCTTACGTACACGACCGTGTATAAATATTAAAAAACTAATTCGCTACTCGTTAGTCTCTGTCTTGGAAGACACGGTATGGCAGGAATTTTTGATTTAGGAATTACGTTTCTCAGGGAAAGCTGTTGAATTTTGCTTGAATTAAAAAAGACGGACAATGGAATTCGAAAATAAAATTTAAGGGAAATATAATAGTTCACTCATTCGTTCCGGAATAAATAATAAATAAACATTTAACCCCTTGCCTTATCAACATTGAACGTGACAAAATAAATAGTATAGATAATTTCAGTCTAAAATAGTCTAAAGAAAATATTTCACTCTGTAAAATGTAAATTTTTAAAATTCTTAATCGACAAAATAAAATAAAAAATTGTAAAGCCAGGGGTTCGAGTGCTCGAGTGAAGCATTGTCAATGAAATTTTCAGTTTTAAAACAATTTTTTTTGTTTTTTTCTTCTTTTGTTTCTTAAACGAATCAAAGAACTTATGCTCTAAATAAACGAGTCTCGATCGATATCGATGAAGGAAGCTTAAACTCTAACTATTCAACAGTCCTAAATGTAATTTATGTGTATAAATAAACACGCGTTGATTAATTTAAGAAGAAAACCGCGAATACCCGTACTCTTTTCACACTGCTGTGTTTTTTTTTCATTTAAATGAATTAGAAATACGCGAACGCGAGTACACGAGTACCTTAATCGATCGATTGATTAATTATCATACGCTTAATGGGTAACAAGGTATGTAGAAAATATAGGACTATGCGTGTCTGTTTCTCGAGTTATTCACCCATTTTGCTACACACTGCTAATTTTGGTAAAACTTTTTATAGAATGCATTGGAAAATAAGGTAGGTGATAATGTATAAATTTTTTAATTTTACTTTTAATCTTTCATTAGTGGAGACCAATTCGATTCTGATTAAGACAAATGAAATGTGTAATTAAAGATGTAGAGCAACAGATTAAATCAAAGATTTTTTTGTCAATTTGGGCTAAAATGTGTGGGGTGAATTGAAAGATCTTAATTCAGGATAAAAATACACGCTCTCCCGACTGGAAATTAACGTTAACACTTTCCTTTATCGACCATTTTGCGAGTGATTTCGTAGTTTTTATTTCATTTTAGGGTCGGGGATTAATTTAATTAGCTTACCAGGTGCGTGATCCAGGAAGCAAGATTTCGTGTATTATACTCTTCCTGTTAAACAGTTTAAACTAATCTAAATAAATGAATTTAGTAGTAAAGGTCCCAATATACTCGATTTAACGTAAACTTAATAACTATACCCTGAACTTAATCGAACTTAAATCTTCTATTAAACAAACAGTTCGAAACGAATTTTTGTTCGACATTTTTAATTTTAATCTAATTTATAAATTCGACTTAAATCAATAAAAAAAAAAAGAATTAAATACTCAAACTTAAGTAAATCTACCGATCGAATCAAACTTGAATTCCTACTGAAAGTTCGTCCCGATTTAATGAAATTAAATTATTGTAATATAATATTTTTAAATTCATAGACAAAACTTATATAAAAATTTACTCTAAAACGCTTCACGAACTTCCTGTTGAAACGCACACGATTCCTGTATCACGCACATCGCGAACAGGCGCCACGATACGTTTATTTATTTACATTATAAAAGACGCGATACATCTAATTTAAAACTAAGTCTTCAGTTGTCAGTCCATTGAAAATTCTGCTGCACGAAACGTGCGTTCATTTCTTTTTTTTTGTGCGTTAAACACGCACCTTGGACACGTTTCAGTACCGTAATTAGAACAATTATTATTAACAAGTAACGACCAAGCACCACGTATAAACAACTACTGTTCTCACAAATCAAGGATAATGTAAAAAGAATTATAAAAAAAAATACTGTATTAATCCTTTGTGATTTGTGAAATCTTTTTAAGAATGTTTAGTAAAATAGCTAATTGGACCCTTTATTAATTTGTTAATTACCTTAAGGGTCATTGGTGAATTATCATTTTAATTCTTTGACTGGAAAATTTTTCTAAAAATGTGTAACAGTAGAACAATTGAACTCGTGTGAAAATTATTAATTTTTCATTTTTTATTTCAAATTGTTGAGATAAAAAATTAAATAAGAAACAAGTCAGACGATTCAAAACGATTTCACGAGCAAAAGAAACACTTTCTAGTTACGGCACTGATCAGCTGGTACCAACGAAAAACTCTCCCCCTTTTATCTATGGAAACACATGCTTCCGGGTTTTCCCGCGTAACCGGAAACGTGCGTGAAACGATTTCCTGCCTTCAGGCACTAGGCGGCAACAATAAATACTATATCGCCCGGATAGAACAGTAATTAAGTGATCAAACACCTCTGCTGACCCGAAATATCATTTAATCTTCTTTTCGTAATCAATTCCTTTAAAACGTAGTATCTAATAATTTTTCACGCGAATTTTATTCATTTTCCTTTCTGCGCCATATTATATTTGTAAACTTTGAAATGTTTCTTTTATTTACACGATTTAGACGCTATTTATTGCAACGAGTAAAAAATATTATTCTATCATTGACGACGAAGCTCGCGACAGATAAAATGTTTCTTTCTTTTTTTTTTAATGCCCATTAGGAGTACATTCGTTTGATTTCGAGGATATTTCTACTTTCCAGTCTCTCGTTCTCTTTTTTTTTTTATTCTTTGCACCAGCGTCGTTTTGCGAAAGTTCAATTTTCATTTATCATTGGTTCCCTTTTTATTTGAAATATCTTGACATCTGGTCGATATATTTTCTTTTTCCTTCCCTTTTTAGAACACAACGATAGAACAGGAACGAAAGATTTGCTCTTACGAACTTTCTCGGAAATACGAAGTAGGTTAACGTTAACAATTCACACAGTTTCGAATACGGAACTAGGTGTCCCAAAATCTGTCTTACTGATCGATAGAACGAATATGGAAAGCGGCGAATGATTTTCGTTTAACCATTCGTATCTGAAGCGATCGATTCACGATAATAAATCAAATTTCAATTGAATAACGCTAATTAAAATTAGGTCGTTCGTGTCACTCGAAAAAAAGAAAGTAGTATTTTGAAGTATACATTTAAAAAATCGCGAAATTAATATTTGACATCGCGAATTAACTTTTATTTCTTCAGTCTTTTATTGTCATTTTGTAATTAAAAAACAAAAATTGAAAATCTCTTGAATCTCAAAGTTGAAATTGAAAACTTGATAAAAAGTTTTTATTTGCAATCAAATTAATTTTATAGGTTTCAATCCCTTCTTCTTCTTTTTTTTATATTTTTTTAAAATTCTTTTTCACCCGACTGCAAATTTTTAAAACACCTTATATATACACGCATCGTTGCTAATCGAACGTTTACATTTCTTATCGATCTATATACCACATCCGTATAATTATGAAAGTTGTCAAAATATCGGGTCAACATTGTTCAGGTACGGTTCTATACGGGCATGTATCGTTATTTTAACGTTATTATCACTAATTGTTACACAAACACATATGTACAAACGTGTGCGATGGTGAACATCTCAGGACTTGGTTTCGACGATTCTCTAGCAATCGACGTTATTTACTGAACATTTGCAAAACCTCTGAAACTTTATACTTTTTAGAAATTTATAAATAAACAATAGAATGTGTTTCTAATTAAAAAGATAGCGAGTTCTCAAGTCGGAAATTCTATAAGCGTATTAAAATTCTTCTTTATAATGCCTTGCAATCGCAATCCACGTTTCAAAAAAAATTCAACAATGAAATTTTGCATAGTTCTGCAAAAATTCGGTAAACCCCATCGCACTATAGAATCACAGTATAGTAGGACAAGAAGATAAAGACGGAATAGTTGAGAAAACGGCATCAACGTCAGGGGGTGAACTCACCCTCTTTGTTAGCCTTCGAGGATACAAAAGAAAAAAAACAAAAAAAAAAAAATATTCACGCGAAAAAGAACTTCCAGTAGTGTCTGAAATTATCTCGTATCTTTCTTTTCTCGCGACGAACTGAGCGTCACGCGTCCAATTTCTTATATTCTTATAATACCTCCGTATCTGTGACCATTTTTAATGAATTATTTCTAAATTACTGTACACCTTTTCCTCCGCGATATATTAACACCTTGCTGGTCACTCGATATCGCGTGCTCAATTATTAACGTTTGAATGTGCAAAGGGTTGAATAAACTCGGTATAAAAAAAGAAAAAGATATATAGAGTGTGTACAGTACGGAGCATAGTAGCTTTCCCTCGTAACACCATTTTCTTTAGGGAAGTCTACTTTGATCGATACTGTACAATAGCAGAGGTCAGACTTTCAATCACGCGAATCATTTTATCCCTGCTTTTCGTGTATTTTTTTTTCAATTATTTCTATCGTTAATTTAACTATAGATAGTTGTTATCGATATTAAAGTAAATGAATCGACGTATTGCTAAATTAAAAGGAACTTCTAGGTGTAATAGTAAAATAATTAGTATCTGGTAAAGTGACGCGGTTACGAATTAAATACCATATGAGAAATGTAATAATTTAAATATATAAACGTAGAAACTATCCTTTTATAATAAAATATATATATATGTGTACGTGTACGTGTATGTACATGTATTTACATGAAAACTTTTCCTTTTGTTTTAAATCGTTTCATAACTAATTCGTTTAGATAAATGAAAGATTCAGTTTATGGTTCAGAATATACAGAGTGTATCGTTAGAACCTATTAAGTATTTAAATGAAATTATTTCATTAATAATTTCTAAAAAATAGTGTAACACATAAACGAGTGTATGGTTTCAAGTTACATTATTTTATAAATTTCGATACTGAATGTGTTATTTTCAGTCACACAGTTATTAAAAAATTTTTAATTCCATTATCCAACAAAAATAAATTAAAACGAAACACCTTGTACACTCTAGTATTTGCTTCGAAGTTTTTATGTCCACGACTAATTCAATTCACCCGTTTCATAGAAGAATGAAAAATCAAAAAGTAGACTATTATCAGTCTGTAAAATAAGAATCCCAGTCAGTGGACTCTTTCGAACTCTCGATAAAAGTTTCCCTTGAACTTCAATGTGGGTCTGTATATGTACACATATACAAGGTGACGAGAAGATAGATGAATCAATCGTTAGCATATTTTACACCTCCTAAAAATCGAAATTTTGATCAATTTTGCATTAAGCTGTGCATTGCTTTGATTTTCTGATAATTAATTTACCAATGATAAAAGCCAGTGATTTTATGATTATCGAATCAACATAAATCACAAATTTTTGTCGCTATGAAAATTTCATCTATAGGAAGAATAGAACACACTATCAAAATTTGACCATCTATTTTACTCGCACCTCGTATGTTTGAATATGTACATGTGTAGTCTACCGTGTATAGTGTACTGCTCAACTCTCCCTGTATCCGATCGATCGAAGAATAAATACGGTCGCCGTAAAAATACTTATCCGAATGTATGTATACATAGCATGTATATATATATATATATATCATTAGAATAAAATAGAGATATAACTCTGTCGTCTCTTAGAATTCTCTCTGCTTAATTATGCTTCTAACAGCTTCGTGCCTACCTTTTAATATACATATACGTGTACTTATTGCAAAGATTGTTGGCATGCTTATTGCAAGTTTAACCTACAAGATACCTTAACACGAGGTGCGAGATTTTATTCTACCTAAAAAAAAAAAAGAAGGGAGTTAGTCTTCGGTTCGAGAGATTAATATACCGTGTACAGGGTGTCACACCTCGTGTGAATGGTATGCATGTAACAAGGAACTCTGCTATGTGTGTATGTATGGGGGGTCGAAGAAGATCGCCTAAGTTATTTCTATTCGAATTCTTGTCGACTCCTGCTGCCCAATGAACACTCTGATCGATCCGCCATCCTGCGGTAACTAGGGTGGGTCATGGTACACCTGAATCTAAGGGGTGGTTCTCCTTCGTGAAATTTGTCGAAATTGTAAAACAGGGTTTGCTAGGACCGAAGGGCCAAGGCGACGGCCAGGAATAATTAAGAAAAATAATTTTAAGTAATATTAATAAAATGCCAAGTGGAGAGAGCTTAATTAATTTTATAAAAATTGAAAAGTAGAACGATTGAAATTTTAATTATTAACACTTTTAAGTTCATCAATTTATTCCAAAAAATTAGTTTTACAATTTCGACTGATTCTTCGAAGTAGAATTACACCCCATAGTCACCTAACCACGAGAAAAATTTGTTTGAATCCCTGAAGTTGGTATAAAAAATAAACGAATGCACGAGGCTCTAAACTCGTGATCCTAGAAGTATTGCAAAGTACAGGACAGAAGTTTGTCTGGTATTGCTACGGTTTCTCCAAGCGAAATTCCAGTTGCAGAGAGAAAGAATATCGGTAGATATGTATACATATGTATATAGAACTTCTGATCCGTCGAGTTTTGACCTGGCAATGGAGCGCGACAATAAAGTTCGACGAACAGAAACATTCGATCGACCGTTCTCCGTGAAACACCTCCGGACAAACGATCGTCGAAGGAAGTACTTACGACCTGTAAATTTCCTCTCGTTCTCCAGCGAGAATCGTATCTTTTTATACATTGAATTCATTGTTACTCGGTCCACGTTCGGTTGTTTAGCAATGTCTTCCAAGACGCATCTTGCAATTGATAATAATAAAAAAAAAAATAAGTTCATTAACATACCGATTATGAATTTAATTAACGCATTCACTAAGGGCCATAGGCGTTGGTGGATGAATGAAAAAGAATATTATTAATCATAGCCGAGGTGGATCCACAGTGAAAGTGTTAAATTAAAATTCATCAAGCATTAATATTAACGCGTCGACTACCGCGAGGGTTATTAATGATTAACACCAAAAATTTAATATAATTAATTAACAGAAATAAGATTCTATTAATGTTATATTAATTTTGTATGGTATCAAAGGATCATAGACGACGCGTTATAAAATTAATTACTTAATCAGCGTTAATCAGTGTTAATATCAATTAGTAGATTCGACCGCGTTGCGAACAGCACCAGAAGAACACGTGAATCTAATACAAAAACGAAAAAAGACTCGTGTCCACGAACGCGAGCACGAACGTTCTATGAAATAACAAAGAATTCAATTGTAGTCCTGTGTACATAATATCCGCACGAATAACGCAATACCAAGTACATATGTATATTATTATATAATTAATCAGTTCTTTCGCGTAATACGAGGCTACGGTTAAACGGAAACGCGTGGCTCTAAAATAGTCAAGGATACCGCTACTCTAGGAAACAGAAAATCCTCACGAAAGGACAAAACAAGGGAAAACGACAAAAAAAAAAGAAAGAAAAAAAAAACAGTAGATAACCCTTCCAAGGAATGAACAGTTCGTAGACTCGCATGGCCGAGAAGTTAGAGCTTTTGGTTACGCTTCATAGGAAAAAAAAAAAAAAACAGACAAAACTCTGAACACCTGACGCTTTTGGTTAGGCTCGCATACTTAGTCTCTTTAAACGAGTATGCTCGAACACGAAGAACGGTGAAAATCTCTTTTTTAGTCGCTCGTCATCATCCTACTTGTCAACGAGTACCGAGAGAGAGAGAGAGAGCCAAGGTCCTTGCATCGTTAATTAACAATGCCTGTCGTATAAAGAATAAAGAAAAAGAAAAATGTTAAGGAAAAAAAAAAAAAAGAAATGGGCGGACCATCTTCTTGTCTGTCTCGTGCTCGTTGGACCCTCGTTCGCGATTCATTGCCCTGAGTATCGTTTTGTACATAGAGTACGTCAACGAGTTTTGTGACTTGCGAGGGTCCCGATCAAGCGTACGTCACAACAATTGACTACTGTGCAGAGATAGAAAGAATATTAGCGGAAGGAATGCGGGTACGATTGGTCGTAGTCGGTAAATCACACCTCAGGCACACGCATTCTAGATCGTCGCATTACAAAGAAGGAAAATGATACTTTCCGATGAACTTTAAATGCAAGGATCAAATGCGGGGATAGGGCCGTCCCCGTAATGTTCTTTCCATCTCTGCACAGTACAAATAGAGAGAAACTGTGTACGAATTAATCTCATCGATCGAGAGGTACATCCTCCATGTTGGCTACGTTACCAAAATGCTGGAAACCGTTCTTGAAGATACGAGCACGGCTAGTGCCAGCCTTTGTCTGGTCGAGCAACGTCACGTTGTCCTCGAACTCCTTCACCCACCTGGCCGTCTCGTTACCCCAGTGGAACCTGATAGGCGCAGCGTGGTGGTACGGCTTCTTCATGCCGGAGTTACGGCTCTCCACGCCCTCCACCGAGTGGTAGAAGGATTTCTCGTAAAAATCTTGCCCTAAGAACGGCTCCAGTTCCGACACGATCTCCATAAAGGTCGGCCGATCACTGGGTCGCCATTTGAAACACTTCTCCATGATCTTCTGGATGTTCTCGGGACAGATGCGTGGGACGTTGAGAGTACCCTTGTGCAACACGTGGCTAAGAACCTCCTCGTTAGAGAAGCCTTGATAAGGTATCTCAGCCAGGGTCAGGATCTCGTATAGTACAACCCCGAAGGACCAAACGTCAGAGTCCGAAGTGAATACACCGTCTGATAGATTCTCGGGTGCCATCCATCTGATCGGAAGCAGCCCTTTCCTGCCGATTTTGTAGTAGTCCGTTTCATAAACGTCCCTCGCCATGCCGAAGTCACCTATCTTGCACACCAGGTCCTTGGAGACCATACAGTTCCTCGCAGCCAGGTCGCGATGAACGTATTTCTTTGATTCCAAGTACGCCATTCCGTCGGCGATCTCAGCCGCCATTCTCATTATCTTGCACGCGTCTGGCACCAGATTGGTATCGCGAATTCGACGTAGATACGTCTTCAGGTCCCCGTTCTCCATCAGTTCCATGATAACGAACGGAGGGTTCTCTATCGACACCACGCCAATGAGCTTGATGATGTGGTAAGTGGAGAAATTCTTCATCACCGAAGCTTCGTTCAGGAACTCGTTCTTCTCCCTCTGGCTAGCTGTTTTCGAGATGGTCTTTATCGCCACTGAAGTGGTCTTGTCGAATATCCCACGATATACCATGCCGAAGTTACCCAGACCAAGCTCTTCGAGGATTTCCACGCTCTCCCTAGGTACTTCCCATTCGTCTATCACGTACTTGGTCTCTATGTAGTCAGGATTCACGCTGGCTATCAGTCTTTCTTGTTGCTTTCTCTTCTGATGGTTCCTCAGTGACAAGAACAGCACGAACAGTCCCACCGAGAGGAAACCGAGGGTTAACAACGCGATCAGGGTGACCGGGGCACTGTCGGTCAGGCCTATGGAGAAATAAGTCACGTCGGAGAAAGCACCATCTCCGGCCAACGAGGTGGAACGCACTCGAAGACTGTACTTGCCAGGACTCAGGTTCTTGATGAAGTAACTGTTGAACGTGTCCCTTCGATTTCTATGCGGTATGCACTCGGTACTCTTCTTCGCATCCTTCACGTCCAAATTCGTGTACTCGATGGTGTAGGAGACTGTGACGGAGTTGGGATCGTTCACCGTGTCCCAAGACACCTCGACGATGGTGTTGTTGGTAACTAGGACCCTTACGTTCCGCACGTCGTCCGCGTGTCGCCGCTTCTTTGTCCTAGCGTTGCTATATTGAACAGAGGAACACATGTTCGTCTCGTTAACTTTCACGCCACACGCGGCTATGCTGATGACATAACGCGTGTAATGGCGTAGATTCTTGATCACATAGGAATTGTTTTGACCACTGACGTTGTACAGAAAAGCAGCATCGTCCACGCGACCCTCGAGGATGTTCGACTGGGTGTCGATCTTGGTCGTCTCGTCCGGTCGAGGGGTGGACAGATTATTCGTTAGCTCGTAGAACTGATGGTCCACCATAGAATTGTAATTATTGTAGACGCAATAGTCTTTCCAGCCGGGTGATATATAGCTGATAGTCGTGTTCTGATGACAGAATATCTCGAACTTCTTCGAGGCGACGTTGTTTCTATTAGCGGGGTTCTTTGAACAACACGAAGCTAGACTGATCACCGGAGTCTTGACGGTCACTTCCTGCACCGTCTGCTCCTCGCTTTCCACCTCGTTCTCCAGTGTGTTGTTACAATAATCTCTAGAAGCAATTAGACCAGTGTCTTCGTGTATCATAGCGCGAGAGATCATGTAGTAACCAATCGGTCCGTTCGTGTATATCGGTGGTTCCCATCGAACTAAGACCTCGGTGTCGCTCAAAGCTGTCGTCATCACGTTGATCGGAGGCGAGGGTATGGTGCTCCTCGTCCTGAAGAAGATGATCTCCGACAGACCTACTGGGTTCACGAAGTAGTTAGAGTTCTTTGCGATGAACGTCTTCACGAATACCCCGTACATGGTGTACGGTTTCAAGTTGACTATGTGCTTGGACACGGTAGAGTTCCATTGCGGAATGTCCACGTCGACGATCTGCCAGGTATTGTTCCCTCCACAGGCGTTCGCCTCGTAGGATATGTTTCTGTTCTCCGTCTCTATATAGTTCAATAGGTAACTAAGCAACTGTTGCCCTTCGGGAGGCTTGTAACTGTCCCAGACTAAGTCCGCGTAATCAGGACCCAATTCCTTAACGGTGATGTTGATATTGACGACGTTGCAAGCTACTTTCTCCCCATTCGACTCCGGTTGCACCTCCAAATCCGTGAAGTTCGAGATGTTAACCATCTTGCTGAATTGCACGATCTTCGATAGGCACAGTTTTGGATTGTAATGAAAGAACAGCCGACCACGCTCGATCTTGATCTTCTGTTCCGGTGGGAACAGGTTCGACAGATTCGGATTGTCGAGCACCGCGAGGCTCGCGTTGTTTATATCCAGTTTTTCTCCCTTGATCACCTTGAGCTTCTTGAAGAAAGCCAACGACGTGATGGGGAATGAATGAGTGATCTTCACGTACTCGGTGATCTCCTCTATTAGGCCAAACGCGTCGCTCAACTCGTTCATTATGTTCGGGTTGCCGTTTCGAACCTGAAACTCCAGGGCACCTTTCACCACGGTTATGCCCCGGAAACTCTGTGCGTCCGATATGTGACGTATCAGAGCACCATGGCCGACCTTCCTACAGCTCTTCTCGCAGGCACGACAGGTGGTCATCTGTAATTGCAAGGTAATTGCACGTTACCGCGTCAAGTTATCGTAGAACATAGGAACTCTTATCCGTCATCGAACAATGACATAAAAAATGAGACATCAAAGCGAGGAATAGAATTTTTAACGTTGCCTTTGCGACACGACCAGGTCGTAAAAATCGTTCGCATGCTAAAGTCTGCAATTTCGACTTATCGCTGGAAATTTTTATCGAACAAAAAATCATACGGAATTTGCGATGAAAGATTTACGATTTACCGGATATCTGCTATCTACCGGCTACCGTATAATTACCACTTATCACCACTTTCAAACTTTGAAAGTAGAACGTTATGAAAACCTTGTCGTTCCTTAATTGGTGATTTAGCGTTTTAACACTCGACCGTTTTGCGATAATGAACGTTCTCTCTATCTCTGGCCTTGGAAATTAAATACAAAGATGATGTTCGACTCGAATATGCGTTTCAGAGAACTTCCCTCGTGTAATTACAACTTCCCGAACCGGGTTAATTAATCGAATGAAGAAATTAACTTACGTTGTATTCGTCGAGCGCGTCCTCGTATCCGTCAGGACAGTGAGTCACGCAGGATCCATTGAACGGTCTCCAGGCTTGCCCATCCTCCAGGAAATAGTAAACCCTTCTCAGACTGTTCATCCGCACGCATTCGTCCTTCGTGACGCATCTTCTGGAGAGATAGGAGTATCTGTGAACAATCATTGTTTCGTGTAAATTAATATTTTCGTCTAGGGCAGGGATCTGAATGGAGGCTACAGCCCTGGGATTTATTTAGAATAAATTTGTATATTATATCTTTTAATCAGAGAGGAAAAATCATACTCGTTACTTACAAATGGGAAGGGCAAGTTTCCACGCATTTTCCCTCGTGTCTATAGTGCTTGCAAACATAACAGTCGCTGTCAGAAGGTCCTCGGCATTCACTAAGGCATTGTTCATGACAATCTGGTTTCATTATTCTCTGACAGTATTGGGAAGTCCAGCAATAGCCCTCAGGACAATGGGAGCACACTATAAAAGGGGAATTATTGATTATCATTAAGATCATTCGGTAATTTCACTCGTACTTAACCCTTTTTCATGTTAAGGCCACAGCAGCCTCTCAAGATTTATTTTAAATATTGTCGCACTTACCAATCTGGTAGCTAAACGAAATAATGATCCTAGAAAATTATCTAGTTAAAATTGTAAACGCGAAAAAGGGTTAAATAAATTTGTACGTCTTAACATGCGAATGACAATGTTGCGGGAACCGAGCACCTGCACGGCGAAAATGTATTTTTTTGTGTTTTGTTAAAATGATTTTCACCATGAGGTAAAGTGTTTTCAGTGCTGCGAGTTTCATACGCTCTATATTACTTGACGTGCCTAATACGTTACATGTAGATTGAGATTTAATATTAACCTGCAGGGCTGTCTGTAACAGAGATGAAACAAAAAAAACAACAGATAATTAGTGCGAAGCGATGGAATCCTATGTGGCATCGTGGGGATGGGATGCGAATTAATCGTTTTTAGTCACAGAATTCTATAATAAACATATTAGAAATTTTCTTGTAAATATTTTACAAATATTTGGGAAACGTGGACAAAATTGTACAAACGATTAATGGGACGATGACTGCCTCCAAAAAGCAAAAGCGTATCAAGCAAAGGGGTAGGCAAGACAAAAAAGCAGATCATTCGTTTTATTGTTAGCGTGCCTATAAATAAAAAAAATAGAACAATTAAATGATAATAATACCGGGACAAGAGGCCTCCTCCCCATTATCCTTGATGACGTTCTCCCCCACGGAAACAATCAGATCCCAATTCAACGTGTTAGTATAACAAAGAGACGGATTCTTCTCGATCCGAACGCTGCCCCTAGAGATTTCCGTGAGTTTCTTCAGGCCGATCTGAAAAAAAAAAGAAAAAAATAAAGAAAGAAAGAATTAAATAAAAATTAGATCCAAGTGGGCGACGATTCAGCCCCCGATACACCGATTTACTAACTGAACTGGACAGAGGTCGAACGGCTGGTTAATTCGATTGACTAATTAACGTCACTTGACCCGACGGGTCAACTGGCTGAGTCCTGAGCGAATTGGAACGAAGCATCGAAGCCAGGACAGACTGTATCGTCCTCTACAAACGTGGGAAATGATTCAGAGAAGAATTAACTCGAAAACACAGCAAAGTGTTGCTCTCCAATTTCAATTAAATTTCGTAGATTTATCGAACCGGTAGAAATCAGTGCAAAATGAAAGAGTGGTATCGTATCTTTTTTTTCAATATTTAGACAAGTTGAAATAATTAAAAATTTCAATTAAAAAGGGGTGAAAAATTTATCGCGAGCTAATCTTTGCCCGAATCGCGGTTAATAAACATGAAAAAAACCGATACCAGACAAATATTTGCCGACTAAGCGAATATTGATCCGCGTTTATTTTCAAGAATAACACCCAATCGTTCACGCTTTCACCCCTTGACATACATTGTTTCATTTTTTTTTCTTCCTTTCTTTTTTTATTCAAAGGGGTACCAGCACGGCTATCTTTCGAAAATATTTGCTCTGCAAACAACGCGATTTTATTCGATCATATCGTGTTTACCTTTTCACTGTACCCTGAAACAGTGACTCCTTTCACCAATTCGCTGTCTATCATGGGATATCGCTCTTTAATACCATACCTGACGATTCGGTTTTCATAATTTAACCCATTAGCGTCTATTAATTTTCGAATTTACCAATCGACCACGCAACGTCGCGTGACAGGCTTACCTCTTGCAAATTTTGCATCTCGTACAGCATGAAAGCGTAATCGGTGAGCAGGATATTGCCCCGGATCACTTCGAGATTCGGGAACAGGTTGGTAAGACTCTTTAGGCCGTTGACACGGTACAGCAAGAGGTAGCCAGTGATCTCTCGGAGATTCGGGAAAGTGATGTTTTGAAAATCCTTCTCGGAGTTGTTCTCGATCAGTACGATCTGCAGGAAACCCTCGATGACGTGGCAATCCTTCATGATACCGAAGGCCCACACGCTGTTCCTTATGTCGATGCTCTGGCAGATACCGTCACCGATCGTCACATTTTTATATCGACGAGTCTTTTCGCGGGTAACACTCGATTTCGTGCCCGGTTTTGGCAGGTTCGACAGCTGGCCCGGTTGCTGGCTCAATTTCGTGTTTGCTTCCGTCGATCTGTCGAATATTTCAAATAAAATAACAATATTTAATAACGATAAGTACTGCCTTAGTAAACTCACGGATGACGGACCATGGAGAGAGGCTCGATTTAATATCGTAAAAAATGATCGTAGCTAACCCATCGAATGGTATTTATAATTATTCGAATAGACAATTAATCGTGAATCGTGTACCTGGAAGCATCGATCGCCCTGTTGCTCCTGTAGGAAACTATTCGATCGTAAAACGGATCGTCAAAACCAGCTCCGTCGACCCAGTCCCTCAAGTGTTTGTCTTCGACGAGTAACCCAGTGTCCTCGAGCTTCCTGTTCGCATAATCGGCCTCGTATTTGGCCTGAATGCCGTCGTCGTTGCGGTAATTCGTCCTCGACCAACCGTCGTCCTGGCAGTAGGCCAGCCGCGTCGCGACGCAGAGAAATACGATCAGCAGCAACCGGCTCATCCTCGTCATCTTCTTGTTTCATCGACACTGTCCTATTGACCAGGCCTCTCTATCGTGAAACCTTCCGAAATTACACCCCACCCTACGGCGGTGTCAACCGCCTCCACACGAACACACAGCACACCGAGTCTCTCTCCCGATTAATCGGTCCGATCGATCCTCGTTTAGAGGTTGGCTTCACTCGAACAGGACTCTATTAGACTCCACCAGGCTCGATTGTCACGTGAAATACGCTCGAACCGATACCTTCGCTTCCTTATCTAACCTTCTGTTCTTCTAACAGAGCTCTGTAATCGGCGAACTTGATGAGGTTTTAAGAAATGTTCACGAATCCTCATACTCCACCCTTATCGTCAAGGAAATCGCCAATTGCGATCTTTAAAAGTTTCCAGATTTTTGTTGTTTCGTTTTCTTCTTCTTAATCAATTATGGAGAGTTGTACCCCTTTGATTCAGAAGAGTTTCTTGTTGAAGATGAAAAACTTCCTCGCCCTCATAGCGCCAGCAACGTGGCCTGCTCTCCCCTGGAACAGAGCAGTGCTACGTTTTAGATAACCGCTGCTTTGATTCTGGGAATCTGGTGCGATTGTTCCAGACACGTTTTAGATTGCGATCGAAGACTTTAACCGATCACTTGACCCTTTAAGAAGCTACGTCGACAAACCGTTTGCCAGACGTATACCGCATCGTTTTCTCTTCGTCGTACGATTCTGAACTTAGGACCCTTCTTATCTCTTAGGGATTTTCTTAATTGACTTGGGATTTTGAACATTGCGAGGGAATTAAGAATGATCAAATTTGATACATCTTATTTTAACAATATAATTTTTTTCCGAATTAATTAACAATATTATGGCACGTGCCCGTCTATTTTAAAAGCAATTATTCGTTGTCCGATCGAGGAACAAAGCATCGGGCAAAAGTGACGTGTTTCGTAGTAAAAAGAATGGGCTCGCCTCGGGCTGAAATGATACGCTTGTAAACCGAAAAATTATGGAGTCGCCGCGGTTGTCGAAGCGGAAAACCCGTATCGGGAGAGAAGAAGAGGATCGGGAACACGCGGTAGTAGAAAGGAAAAATATTGCCTCGTGGATGGGTTTGTTATCGAATGTTGCCGTCGTTAAGTGCCACTTCATTTTCTCCATTACCGACCAATAATCTATCAGTGAATTTCAATGGGAACCGTCCATCAAACCACGCGGAGGATGGTTAATCGAAGAAACGAACGAGACCCTCTTGTCCATCTTCGTTTCGAAACAAATTGCGTTAATTACGAACGTTATCCACGATGATTTATAATCGATCTCTCTTTCTCTGAAATTCTCATTCATTTCCACTTAATAGAATTTTTATTATTTCGCTTAAAAGCTATTTTGAAGATAAGAGAAGATCAACCCTCGGAGGGCGGACCATGGGGAGAGCCCTAATTTTCATTTTCCTGCATACGTTTCGCAAATTCCCGTCTCGATCGACCCAGTCCGTTCACGGGGTTAACGTAACAACGTGTTAACGAATGTTTATTTTTCTTTCATTCGTCAGAAGCAAAATTACAAGAGGCGATAAAGCGATAATTGCACAATGAGCAAACAGGAAAGTCGCTCGCGGTAGCACGTGCACGAAGAGTACATTGAATGGCCAGGAATAACAGCACACCAATGGTATTTACTGTTACTCCGAGCAGACTATTTACTCTCGTCGTCTTATGCAATACTGTACTTCGTTTCGTGATTTGGAAGATTTCAGAGAATACGGGCCGGGTTGAATAATCAATGATCTTCGACGAGAGGGACCACAAAGTAATTAACACAGACAGTAATGGAAACTTTTTCTATTAACAGAGATTGGAAATTGAAGGATTCTCTATTTACGAAAGTTACTTATTCCACTGTTTGCGAAGGCTTTACGCCATCGCGAGTCCGCGCGTACGAAAAGATGTGAAATCGGACGGTCAAGCTGGCACGAGATTCCGCCCATTCATAACTTGACGCGATGCTGATAACAGGCTGATAAGCAGCAGATTGGCTCGTGCCTGGGTCCCCCTTCGCTTCTTATCGCCCACTATGCCGTGGAATTCGAGACGTACGATTCAACGCTACGTGGGTTGCGTTGCTCGTATCAATGAAAAAGCAGCCACGATTTCCTTTCCAATCGGAGAACGAGGTGGAAAAAATGAGCTGAACGATTTTAAAATAATAATAAAAAAAAAAAAATAACTTACACAGAGAAATCTTGGTTACCAGGCAGAGCAATATGACGAATCAAAGGAGAGAATTTATGAGGTTGATAAATAGTTTACACAGGCCTGTATGCTTTCCAGAAATATTGCTTACCTCATACTCGAGTTGATTGCCAGAATTATTTTCAGCAATGCAACATTCTAAATAGAACGCTTCGAGAGAAAGTTGCACGACCTGTTAAGACAAGTAAACAGACAGGTGTTTTGCCTTATGATGGATCGTTTATGAGCTTGAACTAATAAGCAAACCAGGAACTAGTACAATTTCTTTTCTTCAATTTATTGAGACATCAAATTATTTCAGAAAATATTTAATGATACTAATCAGAAATGAATTGGATCAGATGTTTACTGTTATTAAAACGGTTATAAAAATGTCAAGATATGCAAATTTAATGGCTCAAATATTACACGTTGAAAGAGTAATACTCCCTGGGGATAATGGCTACATAAGGGAAACAGGAATTCTCAAAATTCCAATTTTGATTATATTAATTTTGAATTTTATAAGTGAGAAATATGAATTAAAATTTTCCCGCGCAAGTGGAAACCATCGTCATTCCACCCATGGCCACCCATTGGGTAGGGCGAAAATCCAAGACACCATTTTTTTTTTCAAAGCCCGATTTGATCGAGAATGTACACTACGTAATTCTAACAAAATTCCAAATCATATTTATCAGTGAATTTGATCAAGCAATCCTCCAGTTAAATTGAGAAACATGTAATTTCAACTTCGTTCCACGAGAGATAAGAAGTTCGAAACGTAGGCACAATGAACCCAATTCGGTCGCACCTACGTACGTGCTGAAAATAAGTAACACAGTTAAATGACATCTACCAGGTGAAGTCGAAAAATTAATTAACGTATAGAGCTGGCCTGGCACGTCTCAGTTTCGTGTGTTTGTTCTTATCAGAGAAAAAGTATGCCACCACTGGTCGAGGCCAGTGAACGCTTCTAGCTGTATTTTCAGTGGAAGACACACCATTTATTAGTAGCTTTATTCCGTCTAACGGGTTTGCAACTTTCTAACACCTCTGTACCCTCCTCCAGTGCGTACGCGATTTCAAACGCTTATCTGTTCAACTTGACTCATCGTAAACACCGAGAAATGTCAATCGATGAAAAACGAAAACGCACAGCCAGACTGGGATGGAGAAATTTTTTTATTTTTATTTCAACTTCAGCCAGTAACTGGTTTACTTTTTATCTCCATCCACCTCGAAGAGGATTCATAAATATGTCCAGGACGATTACTCCGCTCTGTCGGGGAAGTGTTTTTCTTCTTTTCACGCTTCGAAGTCCCTTTACTTTGCAAGACTTCTGGCATAATCACCCAGATCTCATCTGGTTATTCCAAGCCTCCGCTTCGATCCAAGATCGCCGGTAATAAATATTCGTTCGAGTGGTTTGTTTTTGAATCCTTGCCACCTTGTTGATATATGTAGAAACCTTAACCAATCCCGTGCCTTCTTGCGATTGTACAATCGAAGTTGAATCACCGGAATACTTAACACCCAGACTGGTGTCCTTAATTCTGAGTTTCGTTTAATTTTTATTTTTTACGAAACCTTACACGGAATTTCTGCTGCAAAGTGAATGGAATTACTGAATCATCCCAGACTCGTCCTGTACATTTTATCTTCAGAAGATTCTCACAAAGGCACCAGGTATATCGAACGATGTTGATCGGATCTTGCATTGCAGCAAAGTAGAATGTGGCTCGAAGGTGAGCGAATTGACGGTAACTTCGAAGTTACGTGAGATTTGTTAGGGATTATAGAGTTATAGAGTGAATTGATTAATTCCAAGGTAACGGGTGTTGCGGTGCATTTTGAAGGGTATGGAAATCCGGATATTTTAATTACTATGTTGATATTCTAAATAGAATATTCGAGGTATTTGAACTATTTCAGTTGAGTAACTTTGAAGTAGAAGTTGTAATAAAAACTGGAAATAAGTTGTGATCATTCGATTAATTGCGACATCGTTTTTTTTTCCAAAGGAGGCATAATAAGGAATAGATTTTCTGAAAATTTTTTAACGAAAAGCACATCGAAATGATAGAAAAAATCAAACGGAAAAAATGGTGGACGTGGAACGGAACGTTTCCAATGGATTCGCGAGCCGGAAAGTTTCGGCACGAGGTTACAACGTCATGTCCATCTAATTATGGTCCGCTTAACGTAACGCTTTGCTCGTGAGTCAGCTGTTGACGTTCTTTCAAACGTTTTGCTAACCTCGATGGCTCCTCTCTTTTCGTAGTTGCTCATCGTACAACAATCGCGCGACCCGTTGAATGGCAAAAATCTTATAAAAATATTATTATTTATGTTGCCTCGATACGAGGAAGAGCGAGTCGAATGAATGGAAAAGAAGTAGCTCGGTTATCTCTTTGCAATAATAAACTGAATGTTTTGTTCTCTTTTTCAACGAGTAAACGGTATACAGGAAAAATTGAAGAGCACTCTTAACACTTGATAATTATTTCTAAAAAATACAGGGAACACGATAATATCTGATTTGAATCGTGTGTACTTACCGGAGTTGTAATATTTTTTAATGTAACGTAATACGAAACGTGAAATTAAATTGTAATCCTGGCTCTCTCCATGGTCCGTCGTTCGAGGGTTAAATGAAACGTTAATTAGTACAAAGTTACCGCGGCGCGTTGATAATCACAGCGAAAGATAATAATTATTGTGTGATTAAATAACAGTGTTTCAACTTAGTTAGCGATGAAATATTCACCGGGGATAATTAACCGGATACTCGGCAACGAAGTTTCGCATTGATCGAGCAATTAATTTAACCGGTATTATTCGAACGAGCATCGCGTTACAATGTAATTAGAGTGAACGATGGAGAATCGGGAACAATGGTGTTCGACGGGTATTTGGTAGAACGATATCTGGCGCCCACGAGCAATAATTATTTTTCGTACGACGAAAAACGAGTCACGCACCGTGGAACGCACCGCGAATACCTCTGGTGACCACGAGGAGGAGGCACAGATACGATTGCCTCGTAACGATATAATTAGTTTAGTCGTAATTACAGCTTGCCACGGTCGTTCGTTGATACCACACGGTATTTTGCCATCGTACCAAACGAAACGAAACAGTCTGAACGGATGCTCGTTAACGTCTTCGAGCACAATCCAGCGTACACCCCTGCCTCTGATTGCTTTTTTTTAATGTACAATTATCAGCCAAGTATCACTCCATTTATGATGTTATTAAATACTTGGTATTCGCACAGTAATACTGCAACTGTTATTAATGATAATTAAACTGAAAGATACGGACAGTGATACCAGAATTGAATTAGAGTGCTCGGAATAGGTAGAGTGATGCTACTGATACTGACGTCTGACATACCATTGACTAATATCACTTAATTTATGCCACCTCGATATTTCGAAATTTACGTACTAATTATGCTAATATTAAGATCGAATCTATTAAGGATGCAATAATAATTATCAAATCGGTGATGCCAATGATATTATTAACACCGATAAGAAAAACTGATACTAGTAACACTAGTGCCATGATTGATCCTAATAATATTAGGTAATATTAACAGTCTTCGATTTAATTTTTAATCGATACCCAAATTGATCAATCGAACCCATAAGGTGATATAAAAGTATCAGAACAGAAGAAAAGTTGTTGAAAGAAAAATTTGTTCTCTGTGATCTATTTTTAAACGAGGTCCGGTTTGCAGACAGCAACAATGAGACGGATGCAAGTAGCAGATAATAGAGGATTATTTCTAGAGAAGCATAAATTACATTCAAGCGTGCACAAACAACGTAATGTTGCGACGAGGGACAAACAAGTAGATAGAAGTCTCATTTAGAGGCAGCGAAGGAGGGAGACAAATGACAGGCCAAAAATTGCATCATTGCGTCACCCAGTCACCACCATGGGTGTCAATCGGTTGCGTCACCTACCTTATTTGTCATTCTTTCCTTGAAGGGAGGGAGAAGGAAAGTTAACGAGAAACGACGCGTCTACGAAACACAGGAACTCGAATTTCTCCTCGCACCCTCCGTTTCGTTTCGTTTGCATGGCAGAGAAAAAAATTCGTAGAAATCAGTCACGATGACAGGGGAGAAGGATGTGTTGTTTCGAGCACATTCACAAACCATGACACCCCAAAAAACAACCTATCGGATCGATGTTTTCATCGAAGTTAGTAGATCGTTAAATTACTAACCGTACGAGGAACATCTACCCTGAAGAACTTTCACCGTTTCAATTATACATACGAGCAAACGGTATCAAATTGCTTCCCTTCGATAAGGAAGAAGAAAGATTGCATCGTTACAATTACGAATTTTCCCGCGATCGAACAACCACAAGGTCCTCCGCTTTGACGCGTGAGACCCTGTGAAAAAAAAACTTGAAAAATAAGAGCCCACGGTGCATCTACATAACCGGAATACTGATTTGAATGATCATCCGTGATCGCACAATAGGAGGACCCAGTTAAATACTCGCATCGGGGGTTAATGACTTTGGAAATTGTTTGGACGCCTGGCGATTCTCTCGCAAATGAATCATGACATTGAATATTATACAGATCAGCAATCTACAATAGTCGCTCGATAATTGCCTGTTTTCAGAAATCGAGAAATGCGCTTTGATAAGAAATAGACTGTTATTTAGCGGCTACTGTAGAGGACGGCAAATTATCGAGCGGCTGCTGTAATTTTAAATTATCGAGCTACAGGGAAGTACAATGAAAACCGTGAGAAAACATTTCGAGGAAGCTTCCAGCCACGTCCCACGCGTTCCAAATTGTCCGTGTCAAGAGATCACGGCTGCTCTCTTGGCACACGACGATTTCCAATCCGAATAGAGGCAAACGGTGCCGTTTCGAGGACAACGCGTTTATTTATGAAACGACAGATTCTTCTGTCTTCTTTTCGGCGCGAATTTATTTAAGGGCTAAAGAGACCAGCTGATTCACGCGGTTCTGTTAACCAATCGAGGTGCGCGAACCTCCCTGAATGCTTTCAATAAAGGAAAGATTGATTTTGAAGAATTATTTTCCTCGAATGCTCGTTTCGCGTCGGACGAATGGAACTGACGAATCTCCCGCGGTGACTCCGAATCAGTTACCACGATAATTGACCGTGATGAGTCCGAGTCGTACTTGAACGCGACGATTTGTTTTTTCCATGAAAACGACGGAGGTCGGGTTAACGCAAGTACACCGTGGAAACTTCCACTTTTCCACGCGACCAACGCGGAACACCAACGGCGAATGGATATTTCCACTGCGCCACTTTCGTTTTCGAGCCGATTAGTTTATTACCAGTAGAGAGACCTGATAAGGCAGCCACGCATGCCATCGAGAGAGAGAGAGAGAGAGAGCAATGTCGTTTAGCAAGAATCCGACTAATTACCCCTTTTCGAAATTCCAATTATACTTTTCTTCCCCTCCCTGCAAATTGAGACGTTTCACTGCACGCTGATTTTCACGCCTCACTTTGGCATATATACCGAGTGGTACCGTTGAAAAAATCGGACGCGTTTTCACACCCTGCTTCGTTCGAAGTTCAGTGCTTTGATAAAGGGATACGTTTAATTGGATCGATTAATCTCGTGTACTTCAGAATCGACAGAAGTTCGCTGTTTCAGTTGATCTCGAATAGAATTATTCACCGCTCTCTAAGCGGAAGTTTAGTTTACGTATAATCAAACATAAAAGTTGAACCAACCAAAAAATAAACCTTCTGCCCCGAATAGATTCGTAGTTAAAGTTCGCGCGATATTTGGTAATTTTTATTCGAATCTCGATCGAAAATGAATTCAATTAAAAAAAGCTGCATTATTACGCGATGGCTGTGATAACCGTTATCAGCACGAACAAGGTATCTCTCACCTACTGTGTGACAATCATTGCGTCGTTGTTTTCTCGCTCATCTCTCGTTACATAAACGCATTATGACCCGGTATTTCTCACGAGAAATTAACCTCCGAGCTTATTGTCTTATAGAGTCTTGTTACATTTTCCCGTCCGAATAGCGCCCTACTAACGAGATTACCTCCATTTTTGTCAAACGAGAACGGTGCAAGTGTCACGGGGAGACCCTTAATAATTTTGTTTTTCTCTCTTGCAATCAACACACTGGCGCCTCTTTTATATTTAAACTCGTAAATACGTGACGCGTTAGATCTTGGCTGTGCCAGCAATGCGGCAAAACGTTTGCCAAACAGACACGAGTTATCACCTTCATCTTGGATTGCATCATTTTTTCTTACACATTGAGCGAACACCGATGTCGATCGAAGTTTCGCGCGTTTTTTTTTATAATCTCCCTGTATCCACTTCCGGTACCGATCGAACGTCGGCCATTTTTTGCTAAAACACTCGAAGAGGCAAGGAAACGTTAGATAGAACGGTTATTGGCGATAAGAATTTCTATTTACGAGATAGGTTCTATGTTGACAGCTAGAATTCGAAGATAATCGTAACGGTGTTCAATTACGTCATGGTATTTTTTCTCAAGAGGTTACACGATTCATTGTGCTATTTAATACCGTCACGTGACTCTGGAGTATCAATTTGATCGAAACGATATCGAATTAGTTTGTTAACGCGTAGTTCATTAGGTGATCGGCTATGAATTTAAAAGTAGAAAAAAAAAGTTATTAAAATTTTTTTCATTATAAATGAATTAATGTCTATTCCACGTGCTAATTAACTCGATTAAAAAATCGGATCAGCTGTTCGTTACTCGATGAAATATTAATTGAACGTTATCATTCTTTTTTTGGAGAGGGGGGGGGGGCTCGTCTCGAGTTAATTGCTCGATATCTGGCGTTTCAAATGTTTTAAATTACGACATTATCAATATGCACAATTCCTGCGTAATATTAATTAACTGAAATTTATTGATCGACCTTTCACTACCGTTCGATGTCTCCCAAACGACGTTCGGCTAATTATTAACACTACGTAAATCGAGTTACGAGCGGACAATTAATATTTTAATGAATTCTATTTATAAACGATCTATCGACGTAGCCATTCGCGTCTCTTAATAAACCGCGTGTGCTTATTTGCGTTCAATCGCTTCCTTTACTAATCGAATGTCACGGTGAACACAATGTGCTGCCTCTATGACACACGTGGTGCAGATAACGTGCGCTCTCGACAACCGTTCCTACGCACATAATAAACATAAATACGAGTTATAAAAATATAAATGGATTATGATTAACAAGCCCGAGTGGGGGGTAACGCTAGAACTACCAAATCGGATCTTAAATTATTAAGTTGCTATTAGAAAAAAAATTAAAATGGCACGCGTGCCCTAAGTTCGCCTCCACGGCCCTACATACACATATATATATCAATGAAACCAAAATCTGTATTTAAAACACCGTCAATGTAAAACAAGCCTAAAAAAACAGTCATCACGGTTCACTGAAAAGGAAACAACATTTACTCGACGACGTATCGTGGAACAAGTGTCTCAGAGTTAAAGTAGAATACTTCCTTCCCGAACACGTGACGGACACATTATCTGACGGGAACGGTGTAAACAAAGCGAGTCAGTAGGACCTGATACACCGGGAAAGAAAGTAACATACCTCGTAAGCGTTAATGGAGAACGTGCTCGAATATACTTTTACGGGTCTCATAGATTCTTAGTTATACCACTGGATGATAAGACGTCGATAACAATCACTATCGGAGCACCACTGCCCTGTGTCCCACATTACTCCTAAATCAGTACGCTTAATGAAACAAACGAAAGAAGAGAGGAAAACGTGGTTAGAGGGACGCAAAACAAGCAGGTCGGAGAAGTTAGCTGGTGCCCAGCGTTGGATCGATGCTGGTGGTCGTAACGCGACCGATTACAAAACACGCAACACGCTAATTCTCTGTGTATTTTTCTCTCCTTTCTCGCTTAGCCGGAACTTTTTCAAGGCTTCGCGCCAGGGATTTCATAAGGCACCAGTAACCTACACTGAAAATCATCCAACACCTTTATCTTTTCCCTTTTCTTTTCAATTTCAATCAAAAATTGCATCAGATATTTTAACGAAAATGAAGTTTTTGCATCAGTGATTCTCGATTTACCACCGTAGGTGAAAGGAAATTTCATTATTTTCCTTCAACTCGCTCCAGGGATTATTTAGGACAAAGAGTGCGTGCGTGTCTGCGGGTACACGTGCGCGCGAACACGTTCGTCAGACGCGATGATTCGTGGCTCGTTTCTAATGCGTAGTTAGTATCGCGAGCATAACACACAACAAGGAGGAGAAAAATCGAAGAAACCGTTCCCCGAAGGTTGTACCGCCGACGTACACCGCCTATGTCGCGGACCACGCGCCGCTTGTTTACCTTATCCCACCTTCAAACAGGTTGTTGATACGCACTTCACGATGGAATCTCGGTTGTTGAAAATTTTCGCCTCCCGCCTCGGCCGGTGTCACTGTCAGAACGCGTTCACGATCACACTTCATCGATCGCGCCCTACCTTTGGGGATTTATTTGGTCGTAACTAGACAACGTCTTGGGCGACCATGTTATGGTTTCCGCGGTTCGAATTGGTTCTTATTTTTTGAAGATATCGTAGAGTACGTAGAGAGACATGCACGCTAGCACGTACGCACTGGGCGCGTTGAACCAAGACGGAATTCCCTACGATTGGTCCTGAAGTAAAGTTTATACACTAGAAGAAAAGGGGTGGGTGGTGTCACTAGCGCGAAATTTCGTACGGACGCACACTAGTCAATCGGTGAATCGTTCTGTACAAAGAGAGGAGTGTCGTGGCGCGCCGCCGGTAGGAAACGGATGAAAACGGAACGAAGGAAAGAAACAAGGGACACGTGCCAGGGACGAAAGGCACACGTCGCAGAACGTAATTACAACGCTGCGGAGAAAAGTGATTTTCATCGCGGCGCCATTATCGTGGAATAAGGAAAAACAAGGGAGGTCTCGGGATCGTAGGGTGGGAGTAACGGGTGAAAAGGAACAAATGGTCGGGGAAGTGTGGGGAGAGAAAAAAAAGAAGAGAAAGGAAGTGGAGAGTATAAGAGAAAGAGAGAGCTGGCCGCGTCCCGTATTGCGTAGTAAGCGCTTGAATGGATTACGTCACGGCGGCAGAGGTAGCCAGACAAGAGGGTAAAAGCGTCGCGTCAGACCCACGCGCGTATCTCTCTTTAGGGCGTTTGTTGGTTGCATCGGTCGTAGTCAGTCGGTTTCCGAGCAAAACGTTTTGCATCGTCGAGGACTTCGGCCCCGACCTCGGCCGTTTTGTTTTCCGGTCACCAACAGAGGGGTCTCCGACAGCCACACGCACTACCGCCACCATATGAAACTCTACACGCTCGTATGCGCAGCATCGTTTACCGTTTGCGCATATTCGTGTGACAGGATGCCGTTTTCCAGCGCGTTTCTCGTGCACCTTCGCCATCGTGCCGAGGAACGATCGATCGTCAAGATAGGAGATTCTCCTTCGAATCCTAGCGTTATCCTTCGACTCAGGGAAACGCGGTATAAAATGTGCATACGTAACGTCAACAGAAACGAAGGGAACTCCCGCGTCGCTCCCCACGTGTTTTCGCGATCAAACAACAGTCAACTCGGCGTGTCTTGGCGTGTCTTTATTCGCTCTCTCTTTCTCTTCCTCTCTATCCTGTTTTATCCCTTCCTGTCTCGTTTTCGTTCTCTCTCTTTCTATCTTTCCCTACCCTCCTCTTTCTTTCTCTCTTTCACCATTCTGTCTCCACTTGGTCGTCGGCTCAAGTGTCTCTCGTCTCGTCTCGTCTCGTCTCGTCTCTTCTCGTCCCGTCTCGTCCGGTCGTTTCTTCCTCCCTGTCTAGTCGATTTCGGTGCTTACTTTTTCGTTGGACGAGTCACGCTGAAAACTGGCACTGTTCTCTTCCACGTGGGTAAACGTGTCCTTTCAAAACACCACGACCCTCACCACCACGGCACATTCCAGCGTGCATAGCAGCGCATTTACCTCTCGCCCGGTTCGCTACGCACGACCAAAAACTCGGGGCCCCGCGTATTCGTAACACCCGGCACACCGTCGCGATCAATGGCGAGAAATGTACGTTTGAATTTTTACTAGACGGTTTGCCAACTCAGATACGGTACAACGAAACAAACACCGACATCCTGACGAACGAGTCAGCTGGTACTGATCGGATCATGATCAAGCGCTGACTTCGGCCATGGGTCACGGACGTAGACGCGTCGTGGAAATACTAGCACAGTCTCGAGCATCGACGGGAATCCGACTTATGCGCCGCCGTTCGTGCGAAGCCTTTAACTAACCTCAGGACCGTATCCCATTGCGTTTAAACCCCTTTCATTTCTCCAATTTCTATCCCTCCTCTCCCTCGGTCGCCGCCAAAAAAAATCTCTTTGTATTCGCAGTCCTTTCAGCTTGCAAGGCGATTAACCCTTCTTTCGAGCTAGTCTCGTAGACGGTTGCCTGGGGTCGTTATTTCCTTCAACTACCATGTCAATTGGAAAGTGCAACTTAAAAACTTGATAAATAAATTTTCAAATATTCGTATTATAACATATTGAAGCATGCTCAATTTGAAATCTTAGGGAGGTGCAGTATGGCTCCCATAATCCAAAGGACCAAAGGCACCAAATGTTCAAACTCGAAGAAGCCTTTCAATTAAACTTGAAATAGTGTCCTCGAGCAGGAGAAATGTTCCTGTTGTTAAGGTTATTAGAAGTATGATTAGAAATAGTCATTTGGTTAAGTTTTGATAAGATGCTTTCAAAGTGCCATAAACCAAATGGACCCTCCTTCCATTTTGGTGGGAGAAACGAAAATTTGTTGAACCATGGGTACATACATCTATGTACTGCTAGATGTGTTCTTTTTTAATGGTTCTAAATCTTCAAGGTTCCCTTTTTTCTCTGTTTGTCGCAATAGAAAAGATCGTACGATTAAATTTTATGACCATTTTTGTTTATGTTCAGTTGTTATGTCCATTTAAATGGGAATTAATGCTGATATGTAAAAAGTTTTTAGATTTATGATTTTTGAAAAAGCTTATACATTTTTAAAATGTTTTTATCAATCGCATTATCATGTTTATTCAGATAAAGTTCCGGTTATGATAAACGAGTATCTTTGAATTATGCAGCTTCAAGAGGTTGTTTTCACGCGTTTTATGTGTCCAGCAAAGATCATAAACTTTGTCAATATTTACGGACGGGACGTGAACATTATGCATAATGTTGAATGATCTGTGATCTATAGTATGAATAATAAGTAATATAGAATTCTACTTTATCCAGGGAGACACTTTACCAAGCGTAGATATTATAGTTTCCTTAATTTGGCTCGAAATTTAAAACAAATCATAAAATAACACGCTACTTTCTATTTTACCTGTTGACAATTTATTTATTTAAATTTGTGAACACAACATTTTTTTCTCTAGACACAATATCTTTGGTTTTTAATTTAGGAAAACGTTTTTATTATAACTTCATAATCTCTACATTTTTCAACTCGTGTACATACATAAAATTATTAACATTGCACAGGCCGTGGAAACGCATGTAACATAATAAATATTCATCAAGTGAAATCACCACTGTTCAGTCTAGTCAAACTTCTTCTTAGCGACAACTTGTTTAAACAACGTCCTCCAACACAATTTTTTCAATCCGTACACCAGTAGTATCAACGTTATCACGTAAAATATTATTACATCAACGGAGTAATAATGAACGACACTCATGTACCTGGAACAGTTGAAGATTTTTCCACTAATTCTATAATTGCTTAAGAGCATTAGAAATTTGAGTACGTACCTCGCAGAGCTTTTCAAATGTTCAGCTCCTTTGTGCTTGGCGACGTGTTCCACCCACCAGGTAGCTAATTTCCTGGGACTAATAGGCAGTTCTCTTAATAAAGAACTTCTTTTCCTCGCTGCTATTCGGTACGAATTATTGTGTACCGCAGCTACTTTAAGGATACCTTCGCGAAGATTTCCAATCGATATTCTGGCTAAATCCATCACCAAGGCGTAGCCTAATTTCTCTGCAATGCGAAAGAGTTGGGGGGTGGTTTATTTATAACATTCTTTCTGTACAAAATTCCCTGGGGTGTTAATATACCCTGGAAGGGTGGGCCACCCAAATTATCGTACGCTCACCAGCTTGAGCCGCGTTTCCATCATGGTCGCAAAACACCGGCAAGACGAGGGTTGGAGCGCCATGATAAGCCGCCTCGTGGAGGGACAAAAGTCCACCGTGAGAGACGAAGGCTCGCAGCTTCGGATGTCCAAGTAGCTCTTGTTGCGGCCACCACGCCGCTGTTCTAATATTTGATGGGAGATCTTTGATGTTCAAACCTTCCCATTTCCACACCACGTTGTAAGGAAGGGTGGCGAAGGCTGCGACGAAAATCTGTCGCAGCGCCTCTGGCATCCCCGAAGCGCGAACCGACGAACCCATGGACACGAAGATGAAACCTACGATCGCATCTCACGTGTCAGACAAATTAAATAGAAGAAATTTTCTTAATTTTGTTTACTCACCGCGTTGTAAAAAGGTCTCCAAGTCAGGACTGAGTTGAGTAGCAGGCTTGCAATGG